CTCCCCCTCAACAAGGACAGAGAAAGTGCTTTCACAAGAGTCATGGTCTCACACAGAAGCTTAATCCCTGGCTGGAAGGCAAAACATGTCTGTGGCAAAGGCGAGAGGCATGTGAAGCGAAGCAGAATGAGGAACATTTTATTACTGTTTTGGATGCCAGAGGTGGTTGGATATATGTTTGGGTTTTTTTAATGATTCCAAAAGACATCTTAAAAAGTCATACTCCTTTGGCAGCTCTAAGGCACAACTGTTGCTACAAGTACTAACACTTACCAGCAACTGATTGATGCACATACTGCTTTTCTCAAAGCACACTTTCCATTCTGGAGCATTGCAGACCACACTTAGTTTAGGGTGTGTGTGTGTGTGTGTGTGTTCCATGCACAAAGGTATATACACAACCAAAGGCCAAATCAAATTAGACAGATTTATTGTGTTTACATGTGAAATTGGGGAAAAAGAGAAACTGCTGGCATACCTTTTCATTTGAGCTATCTAGGTATTACAAGGTTTTCCTGTTCCTGGTGGAAAGTTAAAGGAACAATTCTAAGTTAATGATTTGAGAGCAAACTTCCTTCTTTATAAATGAATTGGATTTATGAAGGCTGTGTTCACGTGAATTTTCCCCACCCCTTTCAATCAAATAAAGATGTAGCTTTAGAGAATTCAACGCTCCAAGAGAAACTTCACAGAAGTATGGCTCCCCTTGCTCACCCCAATGGCTGTGCAGTGAGTAGGCAACCCCACATCTTCCCCAACACCTGTTCTGGACAGATGCAGGTTGGACCCATCCTTGATGCAGTGTTCACAAGTGATGTCAAAAAAAATAGAAGAGTGTAGTAAATCATTCATAAAGTTGAGTGTTTTCAACATAAAGATCTATGTTTTATTCTTATATTACCTTCTCCTTATTATTTTAGCAACAAGATGGACCTTTCTTTTATGAAATGGTGGTGACGCATGTTAAAATTTTAAAAAAGTTCTTCTTTGGCAAAATGAAAACCGGTAGCTCTAAGCCAATCCAGAAAATCTTTTCTGTTTTTTGGTGGTTTCTTGAGCCAGACTTCTACATTTGAGAACCACTTGCCTACAGCACCCTATCAACGAAGGACTTTAGGGTCAATCATCCAGTTATCACAAGTTCTCCTTCAGTTATCACAATGGCCACCAGCCTGGGAGACAACAAATAACCTCTAGAAAAATTAAGTCTCTTTTTAGTCAACACTTAGAGATGGGGTGGGGTGGGGTGCTTAGAAAACTTTATGGTCTATAAATTACTGGTCACCCCAGAACTTTCCCCTTTAGCTATAGGCCCCTTGCTAAATTCTGATCAAGTTCTCATGCTCAAAACTATCTGCTCCTGGTTTGGGAACACAGGCGAAAGACCGTGAGGGCACTACGCCAACCTATGTTTTCCCCACCATGAATCTGGGAGCCCCAAATCCTTCTAAATTCTGAGAGGTCAGCTATATGGCCCCAAAGGCTTGAGAGAACAATTCACAACATTTTGTCAGCTGTGAAATAAATGCCACAACTGGCTTCTCCCTCCTGCAGCATCTCAACCAATTTGGGTGATCCTAAAATTCTAATCATGTGGCTGGTTACGGAAACCACAGCCAAAGAAGGCCATTTTCCCCTCTAGAGTCTCCAAACTGAGACCAAAGGCAAGAAGATTGGTGGGAAAAGTTCACAGCAGACTATCAACCATTTAAAAGATGTTTCAACTAAGACTACATTAGTATGTTACCATAAAATTAAAAATTCCTATTTATCAGGGACTATACTATATTTAATTCAACTGCCTTCTTTGTGAAATTTTCTTTATTTAGATATTCTCCCAGATGAAGTCTTTAAAAAAAAAAAAAACACACTTCAGTAGAAAAAAAATCCATGAACACTAAATATTTTAATACCTTTGTTTACCTCTTCTCTAACGGAGCTAATCAGTGACAGATAATATTTGTTGTGGGGAGAGTTAATTTCCTAGATTAAACATGAACACAATCACATAAATGTGACAATATTTTGAGATATATGAAGCTAATAAAAGTAACATTTATTCAGCCAGTCACTGGGCCGCTGGACATGTTACTTGTTTTAAGTTAATCCTTAATACAAACCTATAAAGTAAGAGCCAGTCTTATTCCCACTTTATAGATGAGGTTATAAATGAGTAACCTCATTATTGTAATTTAATCTCTAATAACCCAGAATTGGAGTTTAGTGTTTAGTTATTAAAAAAAAAGGTTGACTAAGCAAATCAGAAATTAAACAGGATTGTAGAAAGCATACTTAGCCTACTAAAAGATTTTATGTTTCAAGACATACTGAAAAGCGGATGCTAACTCCAAGTCTCCCAACAGGATCCATTTGAGAAGGTTCTACATGAAACTATACTGTGTTAAAAACACTTTAAAATTCAGACTCTTTATTAGTGACCAGCAAGCTTCCTTTCACTCTTACCCCAACAATTAGTCCAAATTATTAAGGTTTCTTTAGACGACACATTATGTTAGATGCCAACTGCTGCCTCCCAGAAACATTTCCCTCCTCCCCTAACAATTCCCAGAGCTCTGCTTGCCTCTCACCTCACTTCCTTTGCCCTGATGCTTTGGGGAAAACTGATACTCTTCCCAAGAGAGGAGCTGGCCCATCAGGAAGATCACCCATCCCTGCCAATCAACAGAGGCCATTCATCTGGCCAGTGGGACGGGTTAAGGAAGGGGCACATGACTCAATCAGGTCAATGAAAGACAGGGTTTGGTTAGCTGAGAAGAGACTCTTAGAAAGATATTTTCTCAGTCTTTTTTGAAGTTACTAGAAGAGGGCCTCCCTGGTGGCGCAAGGGGTTGGGCACAGCATTGTGAAGCTATGCAGCACAAGTTCAATCCCCACGCGCCAGGAAGCTACCCACATGGCGCAGCAGACCTCTCCTGTCTCGCCCGCTGCTCCCCTCAGCAGCGTATTTCGTCAGTCTGCCTATTCTGCTCTCCACTCTGTCTCTGGTGAATCCTCCCACCACCCACGCCTCTGGCCTGTACCCCAGTTCTTGTATGCATAAAAAAAATAAATCTTTAAAAAAAATATAAAGTTACTGGAAGAGAAACTTTCCTTTCATTCCAGAAGGATGTGCTATAAGGAGTCGGGAACTTCTGCAGCCATCCTGCCTCGGTGAGACGCCTGAGCCTGAAGTGACACCAGGGAAGAAAGAACAGACAGTGGGAAGGTACTGGAGGCTGAGATAAGTGGAGCTTCTGTTCACACCCACTCTGCAGGCCACTTTGTCCCTACACTTTGTGGGTAAATGAACCAATTAATTGACCTCGTGTTATGGCAGCCCCTTGGAATTTGGTTTTCTGGCATTCACAATGCTGAAGAATTTGGACTGATAAAGCACTAACCCACAGCTTTTCCATGGCACTTGCTCAGATTTTGCTTTACACTGTTTCTTAACTGTTTCAAGTGGTTTTGTATTGGTTTTCCTGAGAAAATATAACAGGCCTTCAAGAAACACTTTAGTGAATTAATGAATGGCCTTGAGCAAGTCACTTGACTTCCCTGGGTCTTTTCAACTGTAAAAAGGATTTCTGTTGCTCCTTCTAGCCCTCACAGTTAACAGTTCTGAGTAGCTGAACTAAGAATGCAAAGTTTTGCTCACTCAAGCAAACAAAAAGCTCTCTTTTGGTTCTAAAGTATAAGTATCCTTTTCGCATAATCCAAGCATTCTGTGTGTCTCGCCCTGTCAGATGTCTTCCATTTGCTCCTCTATTTACACCCTCCACTGTTGTCCACTCAATCCTATCACCCCAGAGGTTCTGATCTCGACAGACATTGTCAACCTGGCTCCTGGTCTTCCGGCTGAGACAAGCTGATGGGAGGCAGCACCAGGAGACAGGAACTCACAGAGGAGTTCAACAGGGTATTTATTCTCTTGGCTCTTTCCCAGCCAGGTTGCTGTAGGTCGACTCCATTTTTCTACCAGAGGTAGCCTTCCCTTACAGCTTCTCTCTCCCATTCTGATAACCACTCGTTTCCTCTTCCTTTCTTGGAAGGCATGGCAACAGCTCCCTGGAGCTGCTAGCCCTAGGATGGATCAACAGCCTGGGCTGGTTTCTCTGGACTCTGCCCATGCCATTCTGAACAGCCCCTTCTCCTGGATTACTCCATTTGAGTGAACCATCTATCTCCTACTAGAACCCAAGACGCAATCGCTAAATATGTGGGTCAAAATCAGTCACAGAAAAAACGAAATGGAAGCAATCAATTCTGAGTCTCGTGTAAGAGGGATGGAAAGTGAGGCACATGGCAAGAAACAAAAAAAAAACACCTCACACCCTAAAAGAACTAAATTAGACACTGCCACCCTCCTTTACCACTGAGATTTTATGGAAAAGAGCCAGGCTCTTGGTAGACCAGGCCTGAAAACCATCTCCCTCCTCAAAAAAATTTCTGTTTATACACAGACAGAAATTGACCTTTCAGACAGCTTCTGTGTGGGACCTGGCAGAGGAATCATAGTTACATGCCCATTTTCTAGAACAACAAATTAAGCCTGGAAGAGACACACGGCCAGAGCAGATAACACTGGAAATGAGCCCAGGGCCAGCTCAAAAGTTCTTTGGTCTAAGAAACTGCCCCGACAGGCTCTGTGGAGTTTCTCAGAGTGAATTCCATACTGTAATTCTCCAGGGATGTCTAACTCCCTCTGAACACTTCTAGAACTATCATCCACAAACATCCTGGCTCCCTCATTACCCACAACAACTCTGCAAAGTCAAGAGAGAAGACAGCAGGTCCTCAGTTCCATTCCAGATGATGCTGAGTTCCACAATCACTGATCATTTCCCAGGGAAAGTTTTCTAGAAATCTACGGGTGTCCAGGCCTAGGGCAACCTTCCTCCCCTTCTTGGGTCATCTTTCACACCATCGGGGTCTAAGAAACAATTGGATGACCTCTTTGTCATGAAGCACTCAGATGCCAAGAGTTTCAGAGAGGCTACCTGTTTCGGGGTCAAGAGGCTTAATCTCTCAAGGTCGTCTTGCTTCTGTGTCTTCCTCCTTTAGCATCCGGTAGAGCCAGGGCCTGTAGGAGTGACCCAAACAGCACATTCAGGATACGTAGCTTCAACACAGGGATAGGTCATATCAATCACTGGCCCAGGATGGAGCCTGAAGAACCCAAGAGCTGAGGATCCCGTTCAGTAGGCGAACCCCACAAAAGCTGCTGAGAAAGTCCCCAATGGAGAAGAGGGTTTAGGAGAAAAAGGTGCCCGACTCTCCTTTTCTTGTGACTCAGGCCCCAAATCCCAGGAGTCACTGTGACTCCCCTCTTTCCCTCGTAACTAACATCAAATCCATCGAAAAATGATGCTAGGGTCATCTTCAAAATACATCCACATGCTTGCCACGTCTCACAAACTCCACTGCTACCATGTGGGTCCCAGCTGGCAGCTATTTAGTTACTGTTTTAACCGCCTCTCTGGACTTCTCATGTCCATCCTCACCTTTCAATAACCCAGGTGCTAAGTACAGAACTGTGTTACAGTTTGAATTATGTCTCTCTCAAATTCTTATGTTAAACTCCTAACCCCCCAGTATATGCCCTTAATTAGAAATAAGGTTGTTGCCCATGTGATTAGCTAGAAAGATGGTGGAACAGTGTCCATATAAAAATGGGAAATTCAGATACAGACACATGCATGGAGAAGGCTTCACATCAAGATTCAAGTTATTCCGCCACAAGCTCAAGAGAGGGGCCTGGAACAATTCCTTCTCAAGCACATTCAGAGGGAGCGTGGCCCTGACATCCTGAGTGGGGTTTCCAGCCTCAGAACTGTGAGGGGGTAGGTTTCTGTTCCTTAAGCCTTCCAGTTTGCAGTACTTTGCTATGGTGGCCTCCGCAAACTAACATACCACACTCCCCACAGCCAAAGCAATCATTTAAAATCACTCCTCTGCCCCAAACACTCCTAGAGTGCTTCATCTTTCCCAAAGTAAAAGACAAAGTCCTTGAAATGACCTTCAAGGCCCACAGGGCCCTGTCTCTTCTCCTACTCTGCCCTTCCTCAAATTCCTCTAGCCACAGTGGCTTCCTCAAGCATTCCAGGCAGGCTCCTGCTTCAGGGCCTTTGCACTTGCTCTTCATACTTAACCACCCCACTGGGGTCCTTTAATTTCTTCAGGTTTCCATTCTAATATCACTGCTTAGTGAAAACTTCCATCTCACCCAGCACCTTTTTTTTTATATATATATATATATTTATTTTATTTTACTGGGGTAACATTGCTTTACAACATGCTTTAGAAATATAGGATCCCTTTCCAGGTGTTGTTACCTCACCACACCCACCGCCAAGCCAACCAGTCAGACCCACCACTACAGTCACTGCCCGCACCCCACTATCCCCTCTTTCTTCTTGTATATTTCATTGTAGTTCTTATCACCACTCTGAAATTTGTTTATATTTTCACCCTTCTTCCCTCAATATAAACTATAAACTCCCCGAAGGAGGGACATTCTACTATGGCATGCCCCAGAATTTGACACATGATAGGGGCTCAAGAAATAGATTTATTTGTGGATTTGTGGATTATGGAGTGAAAGAAGTCAAAGAAAAGTGAATAGCAAAAAGGAGGAAGTTGTCCACAGTGTCAAAAGTAGCAGTGTCCAGAAAGATAAGGGCTGAGTGTCCGTTGAGTGTGGTAACATGGAGGTCACAGGTGACCTTCGAAAGGGCAGTTCCTGTGGAAGGCAGGAGCCCTCTGCAGCAAGTCAAGCAGGTCGCTCCCTGTGCCAGCCACACCTCTCAGGCAGAGGCGAGTCTGAGCAGGACTTACAGCAAAGGAATAAACACTGAAGGCAGATTCTTCCCCAGAGGTCTGTCTATGAGGGGGAAAAAAAGGGAATTGGAAATCGAGGGATGACAGTTTGAGGGAAGGGTTTACTGCTGAGTGACCAAGAGGGTGAGGCCCTAGGAACCGTCCCAGTTGAACAGACCCAAGTACAGGAAGAATGTTCTGTCTGGCCAGGAGGAGGGTTGTGTCCTCTGAATGGAAGGAAACCAGGTTGGAAGGAGTCCAGAGGCCGACAACCTCAGGGGTGGGGTGGCAGGAACCTGAGTGGGCTCGCTGCTGCACGGCTGGACTGGTGGTGAATAAGTGGGGTCAGGCTGTCTCTTGGATGAGGAAGGGCAAACAGGGAGAGGGAGCTCCATGGCGGGAACACCCCACTGTGGGCATCGGACCAGTGCAGGGGGGCTGAAACAGAGCACCTTCTTACACCTGTGTTCTCGCGCCCACTCACCTCATCCAGTGCAGACCCTGATGGGAGAGAGAGGGCCTAGCTGAACTGTAAGGGCTTGGTTTCGTGAAAGCACAATGTACATGGCTGTGGGGGTTCAGAGACAGACCCTCGGCATCCTGGATTGGGAAAGACAGTCCTCCTAAAACCAAACCCCAAACAGCTCCATTCATTTCTGTCAATGCTGCACTTGGCCCTCTGAAACAGCTAGGCGTCCTCACCCCCCACTTCCCTAACTTCTCCCAGTCAGCCAAGAGTCATGCCTCTTGCAATATGGAAGGACACCTATTTGTTGAACACTTACTATGTGTGAGGTGTAACACAATCTAAAATCCACAAACAATAGATGACGACATTGAGGTTCCAGACATCAAATAATCTAAGGTTACATAAGTGGCTAGTAGCAGAGCTGGGATTTGAAATCTTCCATCTCTCTATTTTTCTTCTGGTTTTTCAATTTTTAAAAGATAATGCTTTATTTGGGGGGTAGTTCTAGGGTTACAGGACCATCGAGCAGACAGTGTGGAAGATTATATATATCTCCCCTTTACTCCCTAACACCAATTCTCCATTATTAATATTGTGCACTCGTGTGGCACATTTCTCACAGCTGACAAACTGATACTGATATATCATTATTAGGAACTAAACTCTGTAGTTTACATTAGTATTCAGTCTGTGTGTGACACTCTTCTAAGAAAGGCACAATGCCATGTATCATGATGGCGGACAGCTTCTTACAGAAGAGGTTTACCTCTAAAAATCGCTCTATTTTTCTATAGCCATGACTCCACCTTCATCCAAGCCTTCAACATTTCATTCCTAAAAGTCAACGTGATAAATGGTTCTACCTTACCTCCACCTCTAGAGTGTACAAATCCAGACATACTCTATAGCACTGTTTTTACCTGTCCTGTCTCAGTCAATTGACTTTAGGAGTTCCCCCAAACAGGAAAATTCTGAGCTCTGCTGTCATCCTTTGGAATCCCCCTTAAATATATACATCTCTTTCTGCAATCTTGTTTCCCACGGACACCCAGCAATCCGCCCCTCACAGTATGTTCCTCCCCTTCCTATCCCTTCTTGCAGGTCTAACCACTAGCACATCCCTCCCCTGTATCTCCCGGCTTATGATCCCCTGCACTTGGCCTTCTCCTGCATCCGCTGAACATAGCAGTCCAGCTTGCTGAGCGATCCCCAGTTCTTCTGAGCTCAAGGCATTTAGCTTCTCTTGGAAGTGTTTCATTTGCCCAAGTAGAAAGGCAAACCCCTTGAGGATAATTAATATCGGAGTTGAAAACAACTGGAACCTCCCACTACTCAACACAGCGTCTTGAATGGTGAACATGACTTGATCCACAAAACAATTCTAATGAAGCTCAGATGCTATCATTTTAGACGTTTTCCCAGAAAACACAAGAGCACAGGGATGGCCAAGGGAATGGACACAGGGACTTCCTGAAGTTTCTGGAAGCACACCTATGAATCTAGCACCTCCTAGTAGCTAATAAGGGGAAGGGCAACTGGCTGTAGCTCCCCCTCCTCTTCCTGTCTCTAAATGTCCAAGGTCTTGGTAGCTTTTCTTGCCTAGCCCTGCTCATTCTTTCACAGACATAGATAGCTTAGCCTCTTCCCTCTTAAAGGAAGAACTTGTACTACGAGATCTGGCTAAGAGTTGTTCACGGTGACAGTTTAGTCAGTACTGGGCACCCAGAAAGAGGAAAAAAGAGGTTCAAATTGGTGGGAAGTTGGGAGGTGGCCCTAACCCACTTCCATCAACATAGACAATTCTGGGATTCTCAGGAGCCTGGCAGGGGGCGGGGGGGGGGGTGGGGAAGGCTGACAAAGGTGTAAATCAGCACAGTGATCAAGGTGCATCACATCATGCCTACACAGAACAGCCAGCACCAGAATAAATAGCCCTAGGGAAAACAATGGGGTCAAGGTGATGCTGTCTGTCAACATGTCCAATAAGAAACTGAGGTCTCCCCAAACTAGTGGAACCAAAGGCACAGTGTGGTGCTCATGACACAGCTGAAATTACAGGAGCCCTAGAGTCAGACCTGGATCAAATCCTGTCCGTGTCACCCAGTGGTTGTTCAACCTTGAACTGGTCACTGAACCTCTCTGAGTCTGATTCTGCATGTGTGAAACGAGACCTAAATAAAATAAGAAATGCTTGAAAATATCTAGCAGAGCCTGGCATAGTATAAGAGACCCAATACACACTGCTCGCCTCTTCTCCTCCAGCATCAGATCTCATGGCTCTGAACTCTCATTACTGGGAACCAGTACAGAAGCTACAGAGCATGAGTAAATGAAGCCAGTTTGTTTCCTCGGTGAGGTGGTTTGCAAAGGAGGGCCAAAGTCGGCAGAAGGGAGGAGAACAAAAGGGCCACCTCATAGCCAGTAACGAAGCAGCACTGGACTTCTGTGAATGCCCCGGTTTCAAAACACACAAAGCTTCAGACCTCAGGCCAGACCCAAACAGGAAGTTTATGACAAACTTAGAAAATACACATGTACAACTGCAGGAGGCTGTACAGCACTCAGAAAAGACAAAACCAGCATTTCGGTAGGGGGCGAGGGGTGAGTTGGGGGGGCTGTGTGGCTAAAAGGTGTCTGGCTGACATTCTGATAGCACACAGCTCTTCCCGGGTGTCGGAGCTCGTGTGAGCATGGGCACGATCACCTGGAGCTGCTCTGGTTTTTCACATCCAGGGTCTGTCAAGGCACTCTCTGCCCCACCCCTTCCTCCTCGGGCATCAAGGCCAGGGAGCACT